GAACCCGGCCTCAAGCCCAACTTGGGGCCCTACTCTATTTCTCAAATTTCGCGTTAGGGACGAGCGCCAACCCAAAACCTAAGAAGCAGTTTTGGTTCGGCGCATGCGGAGTGCTGAGCGCCCTCTATTTATTTATTTATTTATTTACAGCACCCTCTAGGCCGTGAGGCGTTAGAGAGGAGAATGGGGATTACAATATTATTGAATCACTCCGCAAAATGCGGCAGAGTCCTCGATGGCTGCGATGTCACCAGGAAGGCCATTCCAGTCCACAATTGCGTCGGGGAGAAGGGCGTTTTGATGGGCTGTGGGAAAACATCACGGCCGGGCTATTTTTTCAGGATGATCTAGTCTAAAAGATGAATAGATTGGCGGAGTGAGAAGAGTCTGATGTAGTAGGGCCGAATAATAGACTTTATGCAATGGGCACAGACGAAAAATTTCTTATGGGCCCGAAACCCTTTATTGGCCACTGCCAATTATTGTGCAAATCAAAGTTAACTGGCTGAGGATGTTTCGTTTTACAAAGATTGTGTCTATAAAGAGTATTCACTGAACGCCGTATTTGAGGGCGACGTTAAGAGCGCATTCTCAGAACGAGCTGACATTACTATGCTGCTAAGACTAGCAATCTTGATGGTACGGAATGCACGTTGCAAAAGAACTGTGGAAGCTCGCCGTCAGCTCGCGCTCAGCTAGCAGCTCCGCACACAGCTATGACCGTCAGTGAATACTCCCAATACGTTTTTTTTATTAATATCTTTAACTGTCGATGACCACGCTCGGTTTTTATGTATAGGTTAAAGTTATAGACGATTCCAGGCAGGGCATCTGGCCGCCGCCATGTCTCTGCTAGTCCCAATTCAAGTACGTGCAATTAGCTTGTCAATGCTACGTTCGCGCGCACGCTGCACATTCATGCACACATGAAGCACCAGTGAGCTGCCATTCTTGCAATTGTCTTTATGAAGTATGTTAGAGACGTGCGCGAACAAAAGCTTTGGCATTCCTATCTTTCCACGATTGGCCAAACTACGAGCATTGTCAGAGAGTGTCAGCTTTGACGTTGTTAGTTTCAGTATGTGATGGCTCCTAACTTCCACTGTGCTTTCTAGACACACAACTGAACTTGTCGTCGCAACCGATGATAAGTTGCCAGGGTAACAACTCGTGACGTCACAGTGATGGGAATCCTGGTTTTGGCGTCACCGACGGAAACCACAAGAAGGCGCCACCAAAACATCTCGGAGCGAATAGCTGGTATTCAAGCGGCCATAGTTGAGTCTAGAGCCACTAAAGGAGCTGCGCTTAGAGTATCGGCACTCTGTTCCCTGACATTATTGTGGGCGTCGCCATTTTGGTGCTCGTGCAGAGCAGACGCAACTGCTGATCGTCATGATTCAAAAGTGCGACTTCCTCAGCATTAGATTAGGAGTTAGGGAGCTCATCTAATGTTTCTTTGCTCTGTTGCCAACTGTTTAAACATCTCTGGAGGACGTAAAAGCGTTTCCTGTGATTTCAAATAAAGCTTCCGATAACTGGCAACCATGATTTGAAGCCACAATATGGCCAAATGTCGTTACTCTAAAGCGTTGCTTATTTAGTGGCACGAGTTGAGTCTGCTGCTGTTCAGCGCGAGCTTACCATGAACTTCTGCTGCGCTTCCGCAAAGTGCACTTCGCACCACAAATATTGTAGGTTCTCTTGGAAGATAAGTGGGGTATCGTTTTAAGCATACGCTGTGAACGACGCGCTCAAGTATGGTGCCCGGTGACTACCACATATATACCCCATGGGTGGCAATTCAAGATACGAATACAAGAGTACTCCTGACGGAGATTGAACTTGGAACAAAGTGGTTCGCGGCCAGATGCTATTGGCGACGAGGTATATCGTGGAGCCCTCTAATAGACCGATCTCACCAGCCAGTTTGACTACGCCACCGCTGCCGCAGTGCATCGAGGGAACTTTAGTCTTTCTTCGCGTGCAGCAACCTCACTGGAACTCTGCGCGTGCAGGGCACGAACAGTCTCGTGCACTGCCGAATGCCTCCTGTGAACTAAAGTTATGGCTGCCTCGCGCAAGCTCCAAACGCTTGGTGAGATCGGTCTATTGTTCCTATCACTGACATCCCGACAGAAATTATTAGTAACGAGCGATAAGTTCGATGGTGCGTAAAATGTTTCGTGAAAGCTAGGTCATCACGTTCCTAAATAAACACTGTTAAAGTTGAGAGTCTGACTGCTCTTATTTCTGTCAATGAGAGCATAACTCATCGTGACTCATTATTTCAATCTTACCTGAATTACTGTAATCTATTCTGGGATACCACCACAAAAACTAATCTACGAAAACTATTTTTACTGCAGAAAACAGTACTAAGGATATTATGCAACGTGTCATATGATTTTCATACTAACGAAATTTTTGTTGGGCTGGGTTTTCTGAATGTATTTCATCACTTTGATTTTAGACTGTGAGTAAAACATAAACAGGAATGGAGAGACATAAACCGCTTTTTGATACGCCTTAGCACCCCTCAGAAACGAACCTATAACATATTGCACTCGCCATTCAGATTTCTGGTAGTAGATGAATCTCGTACTGACTATGGTTTACATATAGTTCAAAAAACACTGCCAACTTTTCTGAACAAAATGATCCTGTCTAATTTCGATATAGAATCCTGTAGCGTGTGTGACATTAGGATATATTTTCTATCAAAGTAATTATGTGATTACAGTGATTCACTCGTAGGTCTGTTTTTGTGTGCTATTTGCTTTGATATTAGCAGATATTTTTCTATTAAAATAATTATCTGATTACACCGATTCCTTCGTAGGTGTTTTTTTGTCTGCTTTTTGCCTTTATTGTTTTTTGCTTTATATAATTTCTTGTGTGTGCTTTTGCAACCGCTGTGTACCTGTGAGGGGGCTAAGGACCAGTCAAGCTGCTTAGACAGCTTTTTAGAGCGCAGCTCTTAGGCGCCGGTTTCCGGCTTGAGCGGCATCGGCGTCGACGTCGGCGTCGGCGTAACCGCGCGGTGCATTATGGGAAATGTCCCATAATGCACCGCGCGAGCCCCCCCCCCCCACGGGGTCACGTGACCTCGGGGGGGGAGGCAAGTGACCCCCCGAGGTCACGTGACCTCCCCCGCCGAGGTCACGTGACCCCCCCGATGACGTCATCGTCACTGATGACATCACCGGCATCCGCATCGTCATCGTCAACATCACTGATTACGTCATCAGTGACGTCACTGATGACGTCACCGGCATCCGCATCGTCATCGTCATCATCACTGATGACGTCATCAGTGACGTCACGGATGACGTCACCGGCATCCGCATCGTCATCGTCATCATCACTGATGACGTCATCAGTGACGTCAATGATGACGTCACCGGCATCCGCATCGTCATCGTCATCATCACTGATGACGTCATTAGTGACGTCACTGATGTCGTCACCGGCATCTGCATCGTCATCGTCACTGATGACGTCATCAGTAACGTCACTGGTGACGTCACCGACATCCGATCGTCATCAGTGACGTCACTAATGACGTCATCGGAATCCGCATCGTCATCGTCACTGATGACGTCATTAGTGATGTCACTGATGACATCATCGGCAGTGTCATCGTCACGTGACCCGGTCACGTGACCCGCCAAGGTCACGCGACCCCCCCCCCCCCCGGTCAGTTGACCCCTCCCCTCCAGCACCCTTCCCTCCTCCTCCTCAAGAGCTGCGCTTTAATTCGGCGTTACAGGGAGTTGTAAACGGCTTTCACTTTTTTCCTCCCCTCCCACCATATTTATAGGGTGAATAAAAACTATTTTTTTTAGTACACTAAACGCGTTATACTGAGTGTATGACCAGTCGTGGAAGGCCGATGACAGAGAAACGTATGATCGCGCCAGTCACGAAAACCATGCAAACTAAACGCAGTTTTTTTTTTTTTTGTCACATTTGTGTTTGTGGACTGGATTGCATCAAAAAGTGTAATTCTCGTGTTTAACAAAAAACATTACATGCAGGTCAAGGCCATACTTAAGTATGGCCTTGATGCTTAAGTATGCTTCCGGCAATGCATTAGCATCCAAACACCAATAAAGTATCATTAATATTAATTATTTATCAGTAGTCATTACTCGAAACAATCGAAATATGAAAGATTCACAAAGGAGCTCAGGAGGGATCGAACCCCGGGCTATGTGATCTGCAGTTCGACATCTTTGCTCAGCGCCACAAGCAGTAGATGAATGATCACATCAGCAACTGGACTAAAGGCTGAACTTCATGGAGCGAAGCTGAACTCCATGGGACGAGTATGCTGCGAAAAATCGTCGAATTTTGCCCGGCGACTTTTGCTCTGCGCGTGGCATCAGTGTAGCGGCTGCTTCGTCGCGCGCAAAGCGAGCGTGCCGTTGGGCGTCGTTCGTCAGTTATTTGTCGCATAATTCTCTCTATAGAGTTCAGCTTTTATACGACGAATAACTGACGAAGATCACCCGACAGCACACTCGCTTTGCACGCGACGTAGCAGCCACTGCACTGATGCCACGCGCAGAGCAAAAGTCGCCGGGCAAAATTCGACGATTTTTCACGGCATAATCGCCACATGGATTCCACACTCTAATATCACTTTCCGGATCTACCAACGTCTTGGGATGAATCATTTTGGTATAAAGTGTCTGGGATGAAGTGTCCTGGGATGAAGTGTCTTGGGATGAACTGAGTGGACTCCTGACTTTCCACCGATTATCGCCTGCGGTAGCACACGACAGTCCAAGACGATTCGTACTTAGTCTACCGTACTTGATTCAGCAAACTTCGACCGCAAGCGACCCGCGGTGGAGAGTTATACCGCTACGCTCAGACTTGTAAACTGTTTGGCTGAGCTAACGAACACTTTGATCGAACTTATGAACAGTTTCAAACCGGTACGCCATGCCGCTATGCGGTTTGAAAAGGTTCGCATACCGCTACACTCAAACCTGTGAACCGTTTGACTAGGGCGATGAGCAGCTTGATCGAACCGGTGAGCATTTTGGTTATACCGATAAACGGAGGATCGAAATTTTCACCGGTAAGGTTCAACAGGCATCGCCATAAACCTATTCATTTTTTTTTGCAGCGATGTTGTATACGTATAATTTGCCGTTGCAGGTCGGATTTCTGGATTTTTTTCGTGTCGCCGTCGTTACGCAAAAAGAAACCTTCAGTGATTCAAGTGAAAAGCGTAAATCATAAATACGACATGCATTCGTTTCAAAAAAGAACAACCACAAAATAAGCATCCGAACCCGATAATTGATGATAAGGCGCTCCTGATAACAATGCGAAGCACGTAGCGCTCACCGCATGTGCTTCCCGCCAAAGATTACTGTTGGACAAGCCGCCAGGGCGACGGGAGCTTGCGACGTGGCAAGTGACGTCACTAACATTTCATACATAAAAAGTTTTGGTACAGTGCACTTTTCTTTCGTCAATCATTTTGTATAGACCGTTCTACTGTTTACAAACATGAAGTTCCGCTTGCGTCCCAAGCTACATTCGGTCGCACAGTTATAGCAAGCCTGTTGAGCTTGCTTATGTCACGTGTGCTAGAAAGCACAAACGCTACACGGACAACAAAGTTTGAGATTTAGCGATGGCTTTCGGCTGTACAATAGTAAATCTTGGAGGAGGCAAGTTGGCTTACAAGAATACTCGAAACATTTGATCAGATATCGCAATCCTTCGCTCTTCTGGCTTTCACCTGGAGAATTGGTAGTTAAACGTTTTATCAACATTTCAAGCAGCGGTGTTAAGGTGACCCTCGTTCATTCTTTTTATAAACCAGAAGTTTTCTGGGGCGTCAAAAACCTGGTGGCGTTTGCTATAAAAAGGGTCTATGTTGCAAAGGCCATTCGTTCCATGTGGTACCACAGCTTCGCTGTCCAACCACCATCATATCGCAAATTGAAGCCCCAACTTTTTTTTTTCAGTAGGGATCAATTGTTTTTATTAATTGATGTCTTTTATTACCTTATTTATTTATATATTTCGCTATTTCTAAGCTTGTTTGTTCGTTTATTGCTAAATAATTTCGAAGCTTAATTATGTTTTACATTAGTCGATGCCAAATATATTATAGCAGGAATGGAACTGCAGATAAGTATATAGCAATATATACTTCGAAACGTGTGCAAATGGTTCAATTATCAAGCTATTGTCACTCATAGGCCAACAGAGATGCTGAGTTAGTTCGAAGAAAAATTCTGAAATTCAAAAGTAGGCATCTATTTAATACATAGAGAGAATTACCCACAACCTAATTACAAATATTTGTATCAGCGTTTTTTTATTGTTTTCTTTTTTCAGGCCATAAACGACTATGCCTTCTTTGGGTGAAAGAAACGTATCTAGAAAATCCGCTGAGGCACTGTCGCTTTTTATACGACGTGTTCTGCAGCTGGAATAGGGATGACCTCAAACCGAAAAAGGACTGCGACAAAGGTGTGGAACCAATAGATAAACGTCCAACTATGGCAGGAAGCCAAAATTCTGTTACTCCGCGACCTCCCAGATAGCAAGCTTTTTAAAAAAAAAGTGGAATTAGTCGGGATTAGTAGTGTAATCTTTTGAACCATGGAATTAAATAAACACGTTTCAAAATGTTTGTTATAGTGCATGTGCTGGTTCGTGCCGATCTCCACAGTTATGACTTCGTTGCCCCATTATACTTCGTTTCAGCTACAGTACAGAACGCAGCCGACTCTAAGAGCCGGTTGCACCAACGTCGCTTACCTTAACTTAAAGCGGCTCTTTCCTAAGTCTGCTTAGTGCCCTAAACCGAGCTTGGATAAGCACGGGTTCAAATTCCGGTTTCATCAACTTTAACCCGGCTTTACAGACGCGCCCCTAGCTAAACGCTGGATTTGCGTAGGGAATGTAGAGGCAAACAGAGCGAACTAGGGAACGCTCAGAAGGACGAATACGATTGCCGGAGAGGAATCACGTGATGTAAACAAAGAAAACTGCCGTAGTAGCCGTCGGCGTCTGCTTTTCGCTATATTTCTTCGGTGAGTAACAAAATAAAGGTCTCCAAATTCAATCATTTTTTCGCTTAACTTTCAAAAACATGAGTGAAATCTTCAAATAAACACGAATGCTCTTTAAATCTGTGATTTTGTGCTTAATATCGGTTGATAAAAGAATATTTTGACAGTGACAGTAGTTTTCGTGAGTACATATTTAGATAAAGGAGCCATCGGGGTCCCCAAATCTCCCCGAACGCGAGAAGGACGCTCTACTCGCTACATCGCTGAAGACAAGACATCATCGAGAATAAGTAGGCAGGTAAGAAGACCACAAAAAGCAAGTCATGCCTCAGACCGATGAAGTTCAAAACAGTGAGGAACTCGCCACGGCAGCTGCGAAAATGCCCGGAAATTTTCGAATAGAAGTCGTCGAGAGATCAGGTCGCGAGGTGCTTGTATCGACCGTACTCGCTGCTATCAGCAAGATGACAGAACTGCACTGTACCGTCATTGAACGTCCGCTGCAGCCTCAAACGGACTTCAGTTTCACACTCTGAAGCTCAGAAAAAAAAAAGTAAAATTTTTACTCGATGTGTCTCTCCGCAGGCACAGGTTACTTGTCAACTTTATATATGCCCCAGTACGCCAATATCCTGAAAACGGCAACCACGGTGAACGGATTGAGCAGCCTTGGGATCCACAAACCAATAACTCAAACCCGAGCCGTTTGGTTAGCGTATAATCGAAAAATTACATAAAAATTACACCAGACTTTTCCCTGTAACCTCTTTATGACCATGACTACATTTATTGCAAATTGCAAAAGGGTGAGAGGCGGAAGCTAGGCTCTTGGTGTACAGAAAACAAGCTAAAACATTCGCAATCGGGATAATGTAGAGCTTTCTCGGTCACTTAAGCTCTTGAATTATGACCTTGAATATCTCCACAATATGTCATGTCAAAGGTGGCTGAACTAGTCGGAATAAAGTTCTTGTTGTCGCTCATTCTTATGCCTTTATACATAAAGGATCGCCCTTTATTCGAAGCATCATGATGTGTTTTTTTTTTATTTTCATATTTGTCTTTCTCACTGTTCGTCTTTATATGTGAATTACCAACTCAATCAAGTTACCATTTCATAATAACACATTTGTTGAACTATGGAAATATGTACCTGGCTAGTGCATATGCAAATAATCAAAGATAATCGATTGTTCGTAATAGTTACCGACACCTATATCAACAATTATGACTGAAAGCTTCCTTTCATATATGGTTTGTCCTATTGCACAGTCTTTAAATGAGTTATATGAACTATACAGTTCAAATTCTACTTATCAGGCTATTTTCTTAATAACACTGAAGGTCTCACTTACAACATATTGCTTTGGCAGTCATAGTCACCCAATACATTGAAATATAAGCTAACAACCACACAACCCTTTCTTCAACACAGTTTTTGTTCACAGCTATCAATGAATAGCTTCATGAATTTATTTTTCCACGGCCCTGGTTAGCTGTCTCTAAGCTTTGTTCACTTGGTTTTTACCGTGAGTAGCAAGTCTTGCACAAAATGCAGCTGGTACAAATTCAGTATAGTCCCATTATGGGAAAAGCAAATTCAGACTAAGCCACCAAATATCAGAAACACTTAAGCCCAGTGAGATACCACCTAGTGAAGCTTGAATGTGCTTAATGTCAGTTTTGCATCTGTAATAAAAATTGAAATCGGTCTTTTCAGTAAATTTTACATGACCTAGTTCCTTAAAAGGGTACTACGGCAATTTGTTTAGCTACCTCAACTAACTATATTTTCTGACACCGTAGCCTTTACCCTTTCGAGTATGCTATTTAGTATCGCGAAAATCATAGTAGTTATTGTGAAATCGGCAAATAAAAATGATGCAAAACCCAACGTTTAAATATAGACGAAAAGGCAAACAGCGCGCAGAAAACGGGGACTAGAGGAAGTGCAGACAGGACAAGCGCTGACTCTCAACTGAAATTTAATCACAAGGAAACAAAACAAAGAAAACAGCAACTCCGCCCACGTCACATGACAAATTCACCACGTGTCCAAAAAAAAACATCTCTTTGCTACTCAGGCCCAGTGACGTTTGGCTTACGCAGTTCGCGCCGGTAAATATACCCGCGCTTTTCAATGCCGTGACGTCAGTGGCGGGCAGGCTTGCCAGTCGAGCAAGCAGTCTAACCAATAAATTATGCCAATCATTTGTTCCGTGGTAAAGCGCGGGTACTGCAGCGAGCTTCCAAAGCTTTCATTTGACACCATGAAACTGCTTCGAATCAGTTGGTAACAAATTCTACAGTCCAGAGAGTGAACCCCTGCCTTCCACTGAAGCCACTTTTTCGTTGTTGCAGTAGAGACTTTCAGTACCGAAAACACGGTGAAGACAAAAGTTCGACAAAAAAAAAATTCGACAACTTCGCGAAAAAAAATATAATTTGACCTAATATTTGGGATTCTCTTGTAACAATGTTTGTTGGCGAGTTCAGCAAAATTTCAAGCAAATCGAGGACCATGAAGAAATCGCCGGAGTACCCCTTTGAGCATCTATATATTTGCATCATGCATTATTGACACATTTTTATGTGTCAATAATTTTGAATATTTTAAGTGATCACGCTTTTTATTTCAAAAATGAATCTACAATCTGTGGACGATGACCATCCCGGGGTAGTTCTCAGCACTTTAGTGCCTTCTGGAGGCAAGTTGTGTCACCAGAGAGAAAACTTTGTTGTAGAAGTACCGTCTAAGACCGATGACTGACCACAATCTGAGGACGACGACCATCCCGTAATAATTCTCGGCACTTCAGTGCCGTCTGGAGGCAAGTTGGGTCACCAGATAGAAAACTTTGTTGTAAAAGTACCGTCTAAGACCAATGACCGACTACAATCGGAGCATGACGACCATCCTGTGGTAGTTTTCAGCACTTCAGTGCCGTCTGGAGGCAAGTTGGGTCGCGAAATAGAGAACTTTGTTATAGTAGCACCATCTAA